AGAGTTTTGTTTTTTGAGACAAGGTCTCATTTTGTAGTTCAGACTGGAGTTGTACTCCCTATGTGGCTCAGGATGGTTTGGAATTTGTCATCCTGCTTTTTCAGTTTCCTGAAAGCATGGACCACCACACCTGGGACCAAATTTTCCTTTCCTTTCCTTCTTCTCCCTCCCTCTTTCACTCTCTCTTGAACCTCCATACTATTTTCCATAATGGCTATACTAATTTACATTTTTTACATTTTTGATCCCTTTCCCTTTTTGGCTTTTTTTGAGACCCTGTCTTAAAAGGCTGACCTTGAACTCATTATGTAGCCCAGGGTGGCCCTGAACTCATGGTAATCATCCTACCTCAGCCTCATGAATGATGGGATTACGGGGATGTACCACCACACCTGGGTTTTGATCTGATTTTATTTTACTTTTTTTTTTTTGGTACCAGGGATCAAACTCACGACCTTGAGCTCGCCAGGCAGGCGCTTATGCCACTGAGCTAAATCCCCCAGCCCTTTGTTCTGATTTTAAAAGAAATGTGTACTAAGTACACAAACTTTAGAATGTTCAAAAATGTCAAAAAAGGAAAGCTGGGTACAGTGAAATAGATCTGTAATCTCTGTATTCTGGGAGGCTGTCACAGGAAGACCGCAAGTTCAGTGTGGGTAATTTTAACAATTTAACAAGATCTTGTTTCCAAATAAAAAAATAAATAGAAGCTGGGTATGGTGGCACTTGCTTGTAATCCCAGCACTTCGGAGGCTGAGGCAGGAGTCTGACTGTGAGTTTGAGGTTACCCTGGAGGTACATAGTGAGATCCTGTCTCTCAAAAAAAAAAAAAAAAAAAAAAAAGAAAAGAAAAGAAAAAAAGACTGGATGTAGCTCAGTGCAATGGTCCTGGTTTGAATTTTCAGCTGTACAAAACAAAAAAACAAACCAAAACACAAAGTTGGATGTGGTGGCACATATCTAAACCATAATACTCATGAGGTTGAGGCAGGAGGATCACTATGAGTTCAAGGCCAGGCTGAACTACAGAAGGAGATACTGTTTTTAAAAAAAGCCCAAAAGATTGTCCAGCAAGGCCATACACACCTGTAATCTCAGCACTTGGAAGGGTGAGGCAGGAGAATCGTGAGTTTGAGGCCAGCCTGAGCTACAAAGTGAGTTCAAGACCAGCCTCAACTGCACATAGAAGCCCTATCTCAAAAAGAGAAAAACAAAAACAAAGGAAAAAGAGAAAAAGAAAAAAGAAACACAATAAGCCAAATCCAAGAAACAAAAATTTTTAGAGCTAGAGTACAGGCTACAGTTTAATAAATGGCAGAGTGTTTGTCTAGCATCTGTGGGCTCTGAGTTTGTTCCCTAGCTCTGACAAAGAAGAAAACAAAAAAAGGAAAAAAAAGTCTCCTGGGTTTGGTGGTGTGTACCTGTAATCCCAGCACTAGGAAATTGGGGCTGAAGCAACCCTGATCTACATTTGGAGGTACAAGACCAGCCTACACTACCTAGCTCAACCTTGTCTCAAAAAAAAAAAAAAAAAAAAAAAGAAAAGAAAAGAAAAGAAAAGAAAAGAATCAGAGACTATGCCAGGAGTGAGGGCCCATCCCTATAATCCCAGTACTTGGGAGCCTGAGGCAGGAGGATCACTGTAAATTTGTGGCTAGCCTAGGCTACACAGTGAGATCAAAACCAGTCTCAAATACATAACAAGAACCTGTCTAAAAAAAAAAAAAAAAAAACAGAACAAAACAAAACACTACCAAAGTGTTAAGGTTAGTTCAAAGAGGACAGACAGCAGTGGGAAGAATAGTTTAGCTGGTCAAGTTGGAATTGATAGCTGGAATTGTTTCAGTCGGAAATGTTACTTTTTTTTTTTTTCTCTTCTGAGGGTCTTGCTGTGTTGTTCAGGCTAGCTTTGAGTCTCTGGGCTCAAAGGGGCATCCTAACTCAGCCTACTGAGTAGCTAGGACATGGTTACACTAGGAAGAGATGTTATGTTTTAAGAAAATAATGGAGCTGGAGGTGTAGCTCAGTAGAGAGCAGTTACCCAGCATGCACAAGGCTCTGAGTTCAATCCCTGGTGTGTGTGGGGGGGGGACGGACATGCTGACAGGAGGATCATTATGAGTTCAAGACCAGCCTAGGCTACCAAGGAGCTCAAGGCTAGCCAGAACTGCACAGCAAGACGAAGACGAAGAAGACGAAGAAGATGAAGAAGACAAAGACGAAGAAGATGAAGAAGACGAAGACGACGAAGACAAAGAAGACGAAGAAGACGAAGACGAAAGAAGAAGAAAATATTGGCCAGGTGTAGTGTCACATGCCTGTAATCCCAGCACTTGGGATGGGAGACCCTGTTTCAAAAATAACAACAATGGGGCTGGGGATTTAGCTCAGCAGCATAAGAGCCTGCCTTGCAAGTGTGTGGTGAGTTCGATCCCTGGTACTAAAAGAGAAAAAGACAAAAAAAAAAAAAAAAAAAAAAAAAAAAAGAAAAAAGAAAAGAAAAGAAAAAATAGAAAATACTGAAGTATGCATATGTCTAAGAAAAATTTAAAAATCTAAAAATCCCATTCTGCAGAAACAACTTCTCTAGATACTTGGATGTATTTTCTTCAGTTGTTTCTCCACAAATCAATATTTTACATGCATCTAGCACACACAATTGTGTATTTTGCTTTTTCTTCTTTTTGGCTTAATAGCATTCACAAATACTTTTTTTTTTTTTTTTTGTATTTTTGTATTTTTGTATTTTTACCGGTACCAGGGATCGAACTCATGACTGCCTGCTTGCAAGGCAAGCGCTTATGCCGCTGAGCTAAATCCCCAGCCCCCACAAATACTTTTTTATGTCATTTTTTTAGAGTTTTTGTTTTTTTAAACTGTTGAGACAATGTTGTTAAATTCACCAGGCTGGCCTTGAGCTGCAGATCTTTTTGACTCAGTCTCTGAAGCATCTGGGATTACAGGTGTTTGCTACCACACCGAGTTTCTTTTTCACATTTCTAAATCATAAAATGCTCTTGCGGCATTTATGTAGGTAGCACACACTTATAATCCCAGCAGTCAGGCAGCTGAGGCAGGAGGTGGGTTGAAAGTTAGAGGGCTACATAGTGAGTTTAATGTCAGCCTGAACTACAAAACAAACAAAATTTTGTGTTGTTTTTTTGTCTGTCTTTAGGATGGAATCCAGGGCATTGGAATTGCTAGCCAAGCACCCTATCACTGCGTTAAATTCTGAAATTATAGTAATTTTTATTTTGGTAAGACAGTTCCCTCTTGTAGGTTTAATTGGTATTTTTTTTTTTTTTTTGTTAGAAGAGCAGTTGATGTTCAGCGTGATGATGCACACCTGTAATTCCAGCAGTCGGGAGGCTGAGGCAGGAGGATTGCTGCGAATTTGAGGCCCATCTGTGCTACAGAGTTCACAGCCAGCCTGAACTGCATAGTGAGGCCCTCTTTCAAAAAAGAAAAAAAAAAAAGTCTGGGTGGTTTGGCTCAGCAGCATAAGTTCCTATCTCACAAGCACAACGTCGTGAGTTTGATCTCCAGTGCAAAAAACACACACACAAATAAAACAAAACCACACACACATAAAAGAATAGTTGACATTTTTTCCGTAGTTCCCTCAAATAGTGAATCCTTTGCTGAACTCTATTTGTGGAATATCCCTTTTCTTCTTTTTGATGTCTCCTTTTCTACTGATGTTTGATATCTCCTGTTTTATCTATGTGTTCCTACAATTTGCAAGATGTTTCTAGGTTTCTTACTCTATTTTTTGGTCAGTACTGCACTGAATTGACTGCAGTAGCTTTCTAATTTAACATCTGTCAAAGCAAGTCTACCTCCATTTCTCTATTTTGTTCCCGAGGGTAAATGATAGCTGATTTTGGTTATTTACTCTCGTAAGTGAACTTGGAACCTTGTTAAAGTCTAAAAAATGTTCTGTTGGGATTACAGTAAGCCTATACATTGATTAGGAAAGAATGGGCGCACAATTAGTCTCTGTGATGAGTAACCAAATTGGGTTTCAATCTTGGGGAGAGGGACAACTTGCCTATAAAGCAGATGTGGGCTGCTATGGACTTCGATGACCTTAACAGTGATGTGTTCCCATGTTTAGTGTTCAAAGGAGAAAGAGGTCCAGTAAATTACTTCTCAGGGAAGTGGCCTTTGTCAGGCCAGTCCTAGCCCCTTGAGGCCACCTGATTTAAGGCCATAAGTGTGGGTCCCAGAGGGCTAGCCTGGGCGCGCCTTTTGACTTGGGGCCTAACGGGATCAGTGGCAAACGAACGGAAGGGGCTGGCTGCGTGAAGCCTGCTTGGGAATTCTGTGCCCACTGACTAAGTAGGGGTAGCCCAGGGGGTGTGCAGGGCTCTACGGGGGTTATCCGAGCCTGGGGTTACAAGGAGATCCCTTCTTTTCCGTCCCGAACAGCACTTTTCCCTGCAGCCCACATCACGGAGCCTGCAATCCTCAGGGACTGAGCCTTGGAGACTGGGGCCACTGCGGGGTCGCGGAGAAAGGTCACGAAGGGGTCGGGGAGGTGGGGCACGGGTCGCTAAGAGTCCCTGACCCGGGGAGCTAAGGGGTCAGGGTCAGACTCCAGAAGTTCAGCCTTGAGTTTGGTGGCTTGGCATGGGTGTCCGTGTGGGTGTCAGGTTCTCTATCTAGGGACTTATGCGGTTCGAATGTTTCCCAGGCTAAGTCGCAGTTTTTTTCTGGCTCCGCGGTTGGGGTCCCCGGCTACTCTCGCGCGCCCTCCCCCACGGTGCAGCAAGCCAGTCCCCTACCCCGCCCAGCTTCTCTAGGTTGGCGGACCGCTTGACGGCCCCAAACCAGTCCCTCAGACCTACCCCCAGTAGGCCCCGCCCAAGCCCCCTGGCCCCGCCCCGCCGCTCGCCCATTCAGATGTGGGTCAGGGGTGAGCGGGCGGCGCCGACGTCACAAGCTTCCAAGATGGCGCCGGGCGGGCGGCTGTGAGCAGCGCTCCGGGCGCGCTGGGCGGGGAGCCGAGCCGAGCCGGGCCGGCGGCGGGCGGACGGGGCGGGCGCAGGCAGTGCGGGCCGAGCGCCAAGAACAAGGGACCGTGGGCAGGGCCGGCCGGCCGGCGGGCAGAGCACCGCCGCCGACGCACACGAGGTGAGAAGCGGCCGGGCGCACGGGGGTCGCGGGCGGGGGCCGCAGGCCAGACGCGCCCCCGGGGAAAGGGGCGTGGGCGCGCGCTCGCGCTCGCCCGGGCGACGTGGAGTTGCGCGCGTGGGACGGCGCGCGCGCGTCAGCTGGGCCAGGTTGGGCGCACGCGGGACCCCTAAAGGGCTCGGGCTTTGTGCCCCGGGTGCCCCGTGCGCGGGGGGTGGCGCAGGCGGCGGGGAAACCGGGGTACAAAGCCCCCCGGGCTGCGCCAACCCCGGGTCGCGGAGTTGTGGAGCGGGGATCGGCGGGCGAGCGGGCGCCGGTTCTTTGTGCCTTTTCATTAGCAATCTAATCCGAACAGCGTCGGGCGAGCTGCGCTGCCTGACAGGCGGGCGGGCTCCCATTATGCAAACGGTCCTGCGCCCGCGGCTGCCCCTCGCTGGAGGATTTTGCGATTTCCCGAAATGCGACCCTTTTCCTCTTGCTCTGTTCCCTACGGGAAGACTGACTGAGCCAGGGAAAAAAGCAGAGTCGGGCCAGTCTCTGAGGCTGGTGGGCTCACTGCCCTGCCCCCAGATCTCTTGTAGGCAGTCGCTTGGCAGGAAGAGAGATGGGCTTGGGGGGAGGGGGTCGGCTGCCAGGGGGAAGGGACAGGCTGGTTAAGGGAGGGCGCTGAGGGGCCCCAGCTTGTCACTGTTTATCTTCCAAGATGGTTCATATTCACACAGGTCTGAGTGTGTGTGTTTGGGGGAAAATGCCTCTCCCCGGGGGGCAGTGACTTACGGAGAGGAGGGAATGAGGCCCGATAAAGCTCCAAGCGGCCCCACCCAGAACAGCCTGGGACAGCCAGGAGACCGAAGCCCTGTGTTGATTTTGACTGGCTGAAACGGTGTTAGAGTTATTTATCCATGTTTTCAATCACCCCTGGTGCCTCCAGTGTCTTTTCTAGTAGAATTGCCAAGCACATCTGGAAAGCTGTCTTCCTGGCCCCTCACCCCCCAACAGCAGGAGGGATGTAACCCAGGGAGGCCACCCCTCTGACATATGTGTTGGGGGGAGGAGGGGCAGAGACATGCCCACAGGAATCCTGTGTTAGTGGATTGTTGTAGACTGATGTGGTGATTGCTGTGCCACCCCTACATTGGGAGAAGGGGAGCTGACAGGTAGTGGGGGGGGGGGCAAGAACGAGGTTGAACTTGGGGCCACCAACCGGGGATTACGGATGGAGGGATGACATTGGTTTGCCCAAACCCAAATCTTTCCTTTTCTTGCATTTGTTGCTCCCTGGCTTTACTACTTTCCTTCCATTTCCATCTGTCAGTAAGTAGGCTCCCTTGGCCTTCAAGCAGACATTTTCTGGAACACAAGCCATGTGGCTCTCTGTAGTCCTGGCTCAACTGGAGCAGGGTTGCTGTACTGGTCTGAAAGAGATATGTGCCAGCCTGAGGCATCTAGAGACAAAGATGCTAGGTGAGATCGCTGGTTTAGTGGACTTTTACACATGGAGGGCATAGGAGGTGGATATTCAGGGGCTGAACTGACTCCTTTGGCCCAAGTTTGATGGAGTAGTATGGTTTTTTTTTTGATCGAGTAGTATGTAGCTCTGTTTGCAAGTGAACTTTCTGTTTGAGCAATTCAAGTTATTATGAAAATCTCTGGACCCTACTTGGTAGACTTGGCAGGTGGGAGGACTCTCTCCATATGCCTGCCCTGCCTTAAGGGTGGTCAGAGCTTCTCCAGCTTGAAGTGCTTTCCTTTGGCTCCTGATATGCTTTCTTTGGCTTCCTGCAGGCTAGTTTTAGGGTATTGTGGAATGCTTCTTGCCCAGCTTCTCTGATTCAGTGAATGCTGCTGTGTGCCCAGAATTTCTCCCTGCAGTGCTTCCCTGCCAGTTGTTGGGACTTGCAGATTAGTCACTGAGCTTTTACGAGCGATTCCTGAAAAGAAAAATCTCCCTCTGGTTGCTGGCTCTGCGTAAAGGAAGAAACAGCCTGAGGGAGTCTGGTCTTTAATTAAAGCAAAACCGAAATGATTGCTGTAGTTACTGGAAGGAGAAGAAAAGGCACAGGTGAGGCAGAGGTGATGCCTACTGTCCTGCAGAGTACCTCCTCTGGGAGCAGGTAGGCAGGATGTCCTCGCTCTCTGATCTTGGCCAGCAGCCCAGCCTTCTCCACAAGCTGCAGTCCAGGATTAATCCTCACATAGTGTTTTCTTTCCATAGATCAGATTTCTCATTTTGTTAATAAGCACAGCCTCCGATGCACTTGAAGTCAGCTGTTGTGGACTAGGAGCAATAGGGTTTTGCGTTATTGAGCTGCTGGGCCTGCTGCCTTCCTTAGGAGTCCTTGTGGTCTGTCAGGGTCCTATTGGAGGGGGTGGGGTAGGAGAAGTGTAGTGCCTTTTAGTCAGCAGTTAGCCCCTGGAGAAGGGCTGGCTGGGCAGTTCTGGAGTGAGGAAGGAATAAAGTTCAGTTTACCCAGAGAACCTGTGCTTTTGCCTTTTTTGCTGGGCTTGTTGGCCTTGAGCTGTCAGCCCCACCCCATACCTGCTCTTGCCCACTGCTGCTGAGGGCCACTACTCACAGAACCTGATCACTGGGAGGTGGCAGCACTTCTTCCTTAGCTGCAGCTGCTGGCCTGTTCTCAGGAAGAAGTAATCAGGTTCCTCTCCTCCTGGCACCTTGGAACCTAGCTGAGTAGGGATCCCTGCAAGGCTGCAAGGGGAGACTGGACTTGGTCTGGAAGTCTGGAGTGTAATGCCGGCTCTGTAGTTTACTTTCCTTGTGACCTTGGACAGTGATTAACTCTTTCCACCTTAGTGTCCTCACATCTAAATGAGAACAGAATTTGAGTTCACATCCACGTTAACCTAGGGAAGACAGACAGGCAAAATGATTATAAGACATGGTGATAAGGACTGGCACAGGCACACTGCTGATCCTGAGCTGGAAGAAAGCCCTGGATGCCATACTGCAGTTGTTGCCCTGGAGGTGAGCAGTTTTGGTTAGGGAGTGGCTGACTGCTCTGGGTTTTCAAAGGCAGTGACAGAATGAAGGATAAGATAGAGAAGATCAGGAGACCATCAGAAACATGGACTCACAGATGTGTCAAGAAGCCAACTCAGAGCTGGGTGTGGTGGTACGTGCCTGTAATCCCAGCACTTGGGAGGTTGAGGCAGGAGGATTGCCACCCTAAACTTCATAATGAGATCCTGTTTCAAAACAAAACATTAAATTAAAAAAAAAAAAAAATGAAGCCAACCCAGGCCACTGCCTGGCAGGCATGTGCAAGGCTCTTGTGAGCTTTTTATCATTCAGCCATGTTTTCTGAGCACAAAGTCAGTGCTTCTTGGCCCCTGTGGCTAGACTAAGTCTGTGGGTTTCTGCCCTCTAGTAGTCACAGACTTGGACTGTGTACTACTGGATGAGCTTTAAGACAGGGTTACAGGGTGCACACTTGTGAGGTCTCTCCTCCCCACAATCCTTCCAGTTCAGCGTGATTCTTAACAGACAGTAAATGAGACTGGGAGGTTAAATAACTTACTGACACTGGAGGGTAAATGCCTTTGACTCCAAGAGTCTTGAGTCTGTGAAAGCCTATATAATGTGGTATCTGGAGAGATTTGGGATCCTGCCAAGGGGCAAAGAGCCCCTTTCCCAAGATAAGTCCTAGTTCCTGGTTAGGGGCTTCCAAACAAGCCTGTCCAGTTTGAGTCTGCCTGGCACCACCAGGATTTGCTTCCTGCTGGGAGAGGCCTTGCCCTAAGGCTTAGGGACCTGGGCTGGGGGAGGGCTCTGAGGAGGGACAGCCTGCCTTGAGCCCAGGTTTAGCCAGGAGTGGCAAAGCAAGAAAAGCTGGTGGGGGTGGGGTCATGGGGATGGGCCCTTAGCTTGATAAGAAAGGGAAGGCCATGAGCTGATTTCAAGCCCCACCACAGCCTAGAAAGGAAGGGCCCTGAGAGAGGTGTGGCTGGCTGGACTGAGTCTCAAGAGTGACCCCAAGAAACTCCCTGGGACTTGGAAGAGGCTCTCAGGTTTGATGGAACCCGTCCTCTTGACCGATCAACTCCCATGTTTTTCTTGGTAATGTTTGTATTTGTAGTTTGTATGCATGTGGGTGGGAGATGTGTGGCTTTGGGCTTAGAGCAGAGAAACTTGGAGGTCCTTCCAGCCTCTTACTATCCTTTCCAAGATGAGAAGACGAAGACCTGGTTGCTCCTTGTGAGATGGTATTACCTAGTAGGTACTTGGTTCCTGTTCACAGGGTGTGAGTGAGGAGGGGTAATGTGGGATATGGAAAAGGATGTTCCCACCAGTTTCCCTCCATCCATCTCATCCTGTGGTGATTCTAAGAGTGATGAAGGAAAAGTTTCAGTGAGGTGGTTAGTTTCAGGTGGGATTTGGCTTGTGGAGAAGGAAAACACTGTTGGCTCTAGTATGGGGGTGACAGTTATGCAGAATTGTCTCAGGCCCTCAGGCTTCATTCCTGGGGGCACCTCTAGGTGAATGGATTTTTGAGAAAGTGTGGGAAAGGGCCACACATGTTTCCACACTGGGGCCTGAGCCCATGTAGCCTCTTTATCTCCTAGTTGTGAGCTCCTTAAAGGAGAAGACCCTGAAGCAGTTCTATGGCTTCTGCATCTCCCTTACCCAGCCTGCTTGGTGAGTCCTCATTCGAGGAAGAGTGGGGCCTGGGACCTCTGTGGCAAGGGCCTGTGAGGACACAGCAGGGCTTTTCTGGTCAGTGGGCACAGCCTGCACATCCATTGTAGTTGCACACCTGTTGCCCATGCCATCCAGCTCTCATAGTTGTCAGGCTGTACCTCACGTTTCCCGGGAGCCAATACATCTCAGGTAGGTGCAGGCACCTCCATCTCCTACCATCAGCAAGATGTAGCCAGTGCTGTGAGCCAGTGCTCCAGCAGTGTTACAGCTTTGTTGATAACAGAGACCAGTCAGAGTGAGGCTGATTTGACCAGTGTTGTGACCTGGGGTGGTGACTGCTTTA